ATATAATTCTTTTTTTTTTTTTTTTTTGAGAGGTTTTTGCTCTAGGGCGCGTTTGTTTACCAGGAAGACAGAGAGAGAGACAGAGAGAGAGAAAGTGAAAAATCATCCCCCAGGGGTGGATGGCCACATCGCAATCCCTTTTCCTCCATTCTCTTCTTGGGATCTTGGGCACACATGCACATGTACTAGGCGTGAGTTTAAGCCACTAGGTCCAGGACTCAAACCGCAGTTGACTACATGGGAGTCTTGTGCCATAGCCATTACGCTAACTGCTGGTCCTTATATACTTCTCAAAGAACTCAGAACCTTTTCACTAAGCAAGGAGCTGACGACAGTAAAGTGTGAAGGTAGCTTGCCTCTTCCAAAGTATATTGTATCTTTTTAAAAGAGTCTTATTAGAATTTCTTACTAGTAGAGTGAAAATGCATGTGTGCTTGGTTTATGTGTGTGTGTGTGTGTATGAGAGAGAGAGGCCACGGGCATGAGACAACTCTGAGCTGTGGACTTTGAGATGTTCCTTGATCACCATTTGAAGTACAGTTCATCTCTCTGTAGGCTAGCAAGGATTAAAAACCACAGAATTACAGTTAGTAGGCACAGAGAAGTATCTTTTTTTAAGAGTGTTTTTGTTTTGTTTTGTTTTGTTTTTTACTTTCTCACAGAGCATATGTACTCACCAAAGAGAGACAGACATAGTAAAAGGGAAAGTGAGAAATCACCCTCCAGAGGGGATGGCCACACCACGATCCCTTCTCCTCTGTTCTCCTCCTGGGATCTTGGACATGCACATGTACCCAATGTGATTTTGAAGCCAAAATCAAACTTCAGTCGGTCATGTGGGAGTCTAGTAACGGGACTCAAACTTCAGTCGGTCACGTGGGAATCCAGTAATGTAACCGCTATGCCATCTACTGGTCCCACACAGTAGTATTTTAATAAAAAGATTTTTTTTTCTTTTTTTCTTCCATTTATCATGGAAGAGCTATCAGTTATTGAGTATTCACCAGGTACTTTTGTTTTCTCTTTCTAATCCTAGTTTATAAGGTAAATATTTATTATTCTCACTTTACAAAAGAAGAAAATCAGTTATGGGAAAGTTCAGAAATGTACTGAAAATTAGAAAACTAGAGTTCAAATTGAGACCTGTTTAACTCTATCCCCCCCTCCTCTGTCCACTACCACTACCTGTATGGTGAATGTAAACATCTGCAAAGGCAAATCATACACTGTTTCCCACTGCCACTTTTCCTTAACCATCACCATTACTAATTAAAGAAAAACTCACAGCTTGGGAAACAACCTAGGAGATTTGAAAGACATTACTCTTTCTTTTTTTTTTTTGGAGAGGTTTTTACTATAGGGCGCATGCACTTGCCAGACAGACAGACAGAAACAGAGAGATAGAAAGCAAGAAATCACCCCCAGGGTGGATGGCCATGCCACAATCCCTTCTCCTTCTCCTCTCAGGATCTTGGGCACGCACGCATACACACCTGGCGTGAGTTTAAGCCACTGGGTCCAGGTCGACTACATGGGAGTCCAGCAACATAGTCATTACGCTAACTGCTGGTCTCGAAAGACATTAATCTTTTCCGTGCTTTTTTATTACTTCTTAAAGTTATGTTCTTTTCAAAATAGTTTTCCTTCTGTCTAGTCTAGGTCATCATTATGTTCTCTGAAAAGATCTAATATCCGACTTTAGAAGAAAACTATGTATATGTGTATGTATGTATATATATATATATATATATATACACACACACACATATATATATGTATTTCTTCATTTGAAATCTGTAGAAAATCCACACTGACTATTTATTCCATGGTTCTTTAAAAATGTTCTTTTTTTTTGAGTTATGAGGCAAACTAGAATACTTTGGTGTGTCTTTTTAAATAACAGTTTGCTTCTGTGATTAAGCACACTACAAAAGGTATCCTGTGTGATCTGAAACATCTGCAATAATGTAGAAGTTTCTTTTTAAGTAATTTGAGCTCATTATTTAATAATCAGATGTTCTCTCTCAGGTTTTGCATTATGGCTCAGTAGTTCTAGACCAATCATTACACTTTTATTTTGAATTATTTTGAGTTCCCATTGTTTATTATGTATGCTCACCAGAGAGAGAGACAAAAAGTCATAAATAGAGAGGAAGAAGAGAAAGCCTCCCCCCCTCCCTCGAACCCCAGCCCCAGTTGGGCATGGTCATGCCACAATCCCATCTCTTCTATCTCTCCCTGCTTTTGGGATTTTGGACCCACATGCCCAGCATGTTTCTTATTCTGCTGGGTCTGGGACTCAAAACCATTCAGTCAGCTTTGTAGGCTCTAGGTGCCTTAACCACCAGGCCACAGAGTCAGCCCTCCATTTTTTTATTAATTTAAATATCGAATCCCTAATGTGTAAGCCATAGTACTCTGGTTTTACACGTTTTATTTCCTACTTGTCCCCTCAGGGTACTCCATATTCTCCTTTGAGAGTAACTTTTGTTCCCTATTTATCTTAGGAACTGCAGACTTTGCTGCCCTACTCATACTTTCCTATTTCAGATATCACTTCCTGTAATACTTCCATTAAATCCTATCTTGAAGGGCCTCCTTAAATGTTAGCTGAAACTTGAAATCATGTATTATGTTATTTTGAATACAAATTCTTTCCTTCCTATTGAACTCTGGATAGATTCATCTTTGGAACTTTTCTCTGTCCTGTGCAAACTCCTTTGCACATGATGGCACTCATATACATGAATGATAAGCTAGGTGAGTAAGATAGAAAGTGTGGCAACTATATTAACATTATTACAGACACTTATTAAGGCATTGCCATTATTATCAACTATAGCTCCCCTACTGATGGTACTTTGAAAACTGCCATGGTTAAATATGTGCTTTCATTCTTCCCAAAATGAGGAAATCATGAGAAAAAGATCAGAGTTTAGATATGTTGCTTTAAATCAAATGTTATGTGTATTTATTGACTATTTAAAAATAGAAACCTTTATATCAGTAACTTCAAGTATATTTATTTTTCTTATAATGTCTTATTTATATTAATCTCTTTAGGAAAAAAAAAGTGCATAGATACCTCCAAAAGTTTATGATTTAATTTAATTTGAGACACTGGAAATATTTCAAAGAGAGAATTGGCCTGGAAGTCAAATGTCCTGGACTGTAGTCTTGGCTCTTTGTCTTTACTGTAACCTTTGGCAGCACCCAATCTCCTTGAAATCAATTTCTTTTACTTCAGAATTGAGAGAATTGAAGCAAATGATTAAAATCATTATACAAATTATG